CAGGACTTTTTAGCTTTAGCATCAGTCTCTTAGCAGGCTATCATGACCTGGGACCTGTAAGCTTTAGCTTCAGTCTATTAGCATGATGACATGACCCAGGACTTGCTAGCTTTAGCTTCAGTCTGTTAGCATGATATCATGACCTGGAACATGCTAGCTTTAGCTCTAGTCTGTTAGCGTGATATCATGACCTGGGCCCTGTTAGCTTTAGCATCAGTCTATTATTGTGATATCATGACCTGGGTCTTATTAGCTTTAGCTTCAGTCTGTTAGCATAATATCATGACCTGAGACCTGTTAGCTTTAGCTGCAGTCTGCAAGCGTGATATCATGTCCTGGGACTTGCTAGCTTTAGCTTCAGTCTGTTAGCATGACATCATGACTTGGGACCTGTTAGCGTTAGCTGCAGACTGTTAGAGTAATATCATGACTTGGGACCCGTTAGCTTTAGCTGCAGTCTGTTAGCATGATATTGTGACATGGGACCTGTTAGCATGATATCATGACCCGGGATCTGTTAGCTTTAGCTTCAGTCTGTTAGCATGGTATCATGACTTGGGACCTTTTAGCTTTAGCATCAGTAAGCATGTTTCTCAGTGTTTGACTGCGGGTTATTTACATGCTGCTGAGTCATGTGTTCTTGATCTTTTTATTGACATGTCCATCGTCACTTTAAAGCAAGGCTACAAATATGAATCACAACACTGGATTTCTTTGGATATCTCAGGTATGAAGACACATGTTTAATCCTAGAACAGCTTCTGCTCCTGCTGAATGAGGGTTTGAGCATTCAGCGCTTCCTGATTGGTTCTTGTATGATCATTTTCATTGAGTCATGTCTGACTGACAGTGGCTTCCCCTCTGCCATTAGGTGAAGCCATCAGTGGATGAACATACGTGACAGTGGCGTGTTTTTACAGTGCCGGTTGTTTCATGTGATGTTTTACAGTGAAGGGCGAGCGAGCAGAGAGGGAGGGAGTGATGACATCAGCAGGAGGAGGAGGAAAACAGCATCCTTCATCAGACGGAGAGCAGAGAGGACGAGGACGGCAGGAAACAGAGAAGAAGAAGAAGAAGAAGGCTGATGGTGTCGTCTGAGAGAGAGACAGACGGAGGGACGAGAGACACAGACAGACAGACGGAGGAGAGACAGACGGGCAGGAGGCTGTAACGTCCTCTAGGCCTGAACTCTGTGTGTGTGTGTGTGTGTGTGTGTGTGTGTGTGATCAGCTGATTGGAACACGCGTCGGTGGGCGGAGCCATGATGGGGAAGGATTACATGTTGGCCATCATCATAGTCAACTATGACGGTATGACACACATTCACACAAACAGACGTGCTGGGGTCCCTGTGGCCCACCAGCCTTATGAGGACCGTCCTCTGGCTGGTGTTTACTGTTGTTTACTGTTGTTTACTGTTGTTTACTGAGCTGCTGTGGAGCTGCAGCCGGGCCCACACGTCAGACCTGCTGGGGTTTTACATGTTAGCATGTATGACTGCGGTCTTGATCGCGGTGGTGTGTCACATCGACATGGAGCAGAGAACAAAGAGGTCTGAGGGTCAGTCTGTTAGCAGGTTCTCATGATCAGGGACCTGCTAGCTTTAGTCTGTTAGCATCATGTCACGACCTCGAGCCGATTAGCTTTAGATTTAGTGTGTTGGCATGACATCATGACCTGAGGCTTGTTAGTGTCAGCTTCACTTGTACAAATAGAACAAGATAACACAAAACAAACCTAAAGCAGAATCATAATGAACATATACATAAACAGAATGAATCCACAGATCCTTGGGTTTTCTGGGTCTTTTTGGATATTTTGAAGTTTAAGTTTCCGTCTGTAAACATGATAGCATGACCTCTAACTTTAGCATGACTCCAAGCCTTGATTCATTTTAGCTTCACATGCTAATATATCAGGTAGCAACTGGCTGCACATTTCTGAGTCTTTCACATGATTGTGGTTTAAAATAGTCAGTTGGTGGGAAAGTTCTCAGTAAACTCACAATGCTAATGCTAGCTTAATTAGCTTGAAAGCTACAGCGAATAGATTCTGCTAGCAGCCGCTATCATTTCAGTGAAACTAGAGCTGTTTGTTAAATTCTATGTTGTTGACATAAATGAATATGAATTTTGAGGGAGTCGGTGCTGAACAGGATAGAGCACACATCATTGAACTGGAAAACTTCTCTGGTAGAAGATTCTAAAATGTTTTCTTTCATATTAAATACAACATCAACAATTTCCCTGACGTTTTTACCAAAGAGATCAATAAAGTTTTATCCATCTTTTTAATCTTTCTCCACATGTTTTGTTCACGGACTCATGAAAAGCACAGTGAATATGTGACCTGCTGATTTCTGTTTTCTGACATTTCATGCCTTCAGCTGTTGATTTGAATTTCAGACACGAACAAACTAACAGGAGGTTTGTTCTTTTAATTACCTGCAAAACAAATGTGCTCGATGGGAACTAAAATAAAACCAGATGTTTGTTGCACAGAAGTGACGATATCTGATAAATTTGTGATAAATGAAGAATTTTAAGTTTCCCTAAATAGAAAAAACAGATGATTTCAGTTCCACAGCTGCTGACTGGAGTTTGTTCTGCTGGTCAGTCTGCGCCGACCCTCATTCCGGTCATTCTGTTATCTTTTGATCAGCCGATTCAGCGTTTTGCGTCTCTAAGGCTTTATTAATAATTCAGAGCCTCTTCAGTTTCCTCTGTTCCTGTACAGTGGTTTGACCTCTGATCACTCTGTTTCATGTCAGCGATACACCAACAATGTTAGCAGCTAATAAAGATGAGCCGGAGCAAAGCAAGCAGTCGGTGGAAGAGATGCAAACGCTTGTGCTTAGAATCCTGTTTACAGACATGGAGCTTTGCTGCCCTGCTCAGTGTCTGCCAGGCAGACGTCATAACTCGGCCCAGTCTGAACTCTCAACAACACAAAGACATAAAGTCTGTAGAGTCAGTGTGACTTCCACGTTGTGAGGATATCATCATCTGTGACGTCAGATGCCTGATTCCAGGTTCTCCTTCAGCATCAGAGATCCGTCGGGTTTGTCTGAACGTCAGTGATCGTCTGCAGACAGCAGCTGCTCACACACAGCTGTGCTGCTTTTAAAGGGACAGTTTGACTGAATACAGGATAGAAGCCCCAGAGGCAGCATCAAGGTCGCGTCATAGCGCTGCTGTTAGCTGATATATAATCAATATCAGTGTCAGTGTGTACGCATCGAGTTCTAGTCCGATATGAAAGACTGCATGAGTGTGATGAAGGAAAGCAGCACGATGCTGTCGGTGAAGGTTACTGAAATGATTGAGGGCACGTAGTTTTAATGTGTCAGCGCCGACCGACCGGCCGGCCGGCGGCTAAAGTGACCTTCTGCTGCAGAGTCAGAGCAGAGAGAGCATTGATCTCCCTCCATCATGTGACCGCTGACATGGTTGAGCTGATCAATATGTGACCTGATGATCAGCAGACTGTTCAGATGCAGCTGAATGACTGACGCCTGTCCACCAATCAGCTCGTCTCTGAGCTCCTCAGACCAGCAGCTGATTGGACGAAGCTGCTCACAGCTGTCACCTGTCTGTCCGCTGGACGTTTGAGCTGTTAATAAAGTTGAAGGACGTTTGAATGGAGGCAGCTTCCTGAATGAAGCAGACTTGAGAACAAACAGCAGACCTTTCCTGGAGCTCGCTGAAGCGTTCTCGCTGAAACCTAAAAGTAAACGCGTTTAAACGTCGGTGGTTTTGTTTGGAGAGGACGACCAGTCTGATCAGTGGAAGCATCTAAAGTAAACATCTGTGATGAAAGTCAAGAGTTAAAGCTGAAATCAGTGGATGGCATCTGTCTGAAGACGAGCTGAAGCTGCACATAGTCGGAGTGTTAGTACGACATGAACAAACCAGAGTCCAGCCGGATGCTCTCAGTACTGAAGAGAAGCTGCTTCATGCTTTACTCTGCATTCGTCAGACATGAAAACTGGACGTTTAATGAGTCACTGCTGGTAGAAACCTGGCGGCTCGTTTGTTCAGGGAATCATTCATTTAATCAAAACTCTCCTCTTCCTGCAAATGTTTCACCAAAACTATTCACTGTCACGACTTTGGAGAAGATGCAGCGAGAGTCATGGGGGGGCTGGAGTCTATCCCAGCTGACTCAGGGTGAAGGCAGGTTCACCTGGACAGGTAACCAGTCTATCACAGGGCTACACTTAGAGACAGACAACCAAGCACACTCACATTCACACCTACGGACAATTTACAATCACCAATTAACCTCAGCATGTTTCTGGACTGTGGGAGGAAGCCGGAGAACCCGGAGAGAACCCACGCTGCACGGGGAGAACATGGAGACTCCACGCAGAAAGATCCCGGGTGTCCTCACCGGGACGCCAACCGGCGACCTTCTAACCACCGAGACACCGTGTGATGCTAATAATAAATCAACAGACACCAAACTGAGATGCTGTTTATGACGTCGGTAACAGAAGCTTCTCTTCATCCTCCTGCGTAAATCTTCATCTGACGTTGAGCAGGACAGAACGTCTGGCTGATCAGATGCTGTTTGCTTGTTTGTCAAAGTGAAGTGGATTGAAGTGGATCGTGAAAACCTCAGGCAGTGGAAGGGGAGCACAAAGCTGGTGTGAAATGTGAGGTGATGGTTACAGGTTTACATCCAGAGTTCAGCATCCACATGACTACACATGCATGTCAGGAAGAGACTGAGTGTGTCCCAGAACACCGAGACATCTGCTCGCATACGTGACAGAGTCTGAGCGAGCGTCACCATCTTCTGATGATTTCTCTTCACACTGAGAGTCAAACGTGAAGCTGGAGCTTGTTGATGAAGGTCCAGCCTGTGCTCTTATTCACGTCAGTTTAATTCAGTTTATTGTCGGCTCTGTGGGTTTCTATCTTTTGTCTTTTTCTGCTATTCTCATCAATAAGTTGGGAAACTTTAAAACGCCTTCGTCCTGTTCTTTACATGAAGTTTTCATTTTGTCTTTTACAAATTGTATATATGTATGTATTCTTTACCTTTGGCTGTAAAGCCCTTTGAAACAGTGACTGACTGTTTGTGTCCCTGCAGACAACATCTGGACTGACCAAAACCTGCTACTGGACCCGGATCTTCCCTCCGGCTGGAGAACCATCAAAGACTCCACAGGAACGTACTACTGGCACGTTCCCACCGGCACCACCCAGTGGCAGCACCCGCGCCTTACGGGGACGCCACAGCCGCTGGACACTCAGGTGAGGACAGGCAGAGCTGCTGGACTGGGCCCAGTTAGTCAGGTCAACCCTCTGAGCCCAGTAAGCTCAGGTTCTTCTTCTGTGGTGTCAGCAGGAGGAACCTGCAGAGCAGAGCACCGACAAGGAGACAGATGGACCACCGGAGGACAGGTAAGACACAGGCTGCCCCATAAATACCAAACCCTCGAAACAGGGTTAGCCTGAAACCTGAGATCAAACTGT